CAGTTCCAAAGTCGCTTTCACATATCAGGCATCTTTACAGCAACACCACACTCTACCAGTACCAATTTACTGTATTAGTCCATTTTCATGCTGCTGATAAAGAATACCCAAGACTGGGTAATTTATAAAGGAAAGAAGTTTAATTGGCTCACAGTTCGACATGGCTGGGGAGGTATCACAACTGTGGTGGAAGACAAAGGAAACAAACGGATGTCTTACATGGCAGCCAGCAAAGAGAGAGAATGAGAACCAAGTGAAAGGGGTTTCCTGTTGTAAAACCATCAGATCTCATGAGACTTATTCACTATCATGAAAACAGTATGGAGGAAACTGCCCCCAGTTATTCAATTATCTCCCACCGGCTCCCTCCCACAACACATGGGAATTATGGGAGCTACAATTTAAGATGAGATTTGTGGGGGAACACAGCCAAACCATGTCATGCCCTCTACAGCTAAGAGTATTTGGTCCATGGCTAAAGGATAGATAATTGCTAACTCATATAAGTTTGAGGTATTACAGTGATTCTTTTTCTAATTATGAGGAAGTAAAAATGAATTACTTAAACATATGAACATTTTTTTCCTCATAAAGGAAACCTTGTTTGCACATATATATACTCAAATAAAAATGTGCTGGAGGCAATATGAAAATAACCATATTGAATTTCTTGCCTGTTGGGAAGGGACTGTTAACTCATTGCACTGGAACTATTTTTTTGTAATTATAATTCAGTAAATTATTTTCATTGACTTAATATTTTAACCTAGATGCCATAAGCTATAGTAAGTAACACATGTAAGAGAAATGTTGCCTCAGCTCTTAACTATAGATTTTAAATTGGACAATTCAAATGCGAAATCTCAGTGGCACTATAGAGTGTTTTTAAAAATTACATTTGGAAAGTTGGGTTACATTTTAAAATAAGGGCATAGTCTCAGTGCTGATGGACCACACATTCCATGGTTTGCTAAGAGAGTAAGTTACATCTTCAGTTTTATAACCATAATTTACAAAATCCAAGCCACCGCCTCAGGGTACTTTTTGATGAAATATTGACTTTAAAGAAGTATAAGTTCACCTCGTTGGTAAATACATCATGTTGTAAAAACTGTGAGGTTCATTTTCTTTGTATTGCTGTACAATTTTATATTTTGCAAACATCTCTTACAGTTCTTTTAATGTGTCTATGGTATTTTTTCCATTTTTATTTATCACACATGTTGGTGAGTTTTTCCTTTTTTCTCTATGAAATTATCAGATTGTTTTATTGTTTCTCTTTTTGTTTATAGTGCCTTCACTGGTCCTTTTATTTTTAGTAATTCAGTTCTCCTTTGAGCCGCTTCCAGCACAATCTGCATTAATGTGATAGTTCTAGTATTCCTCTCTTTTCAGTATCTTTCCTATGCTCTGCTAGGTCTCATTCCCCTGAGCCCTTGTTCTTGATAATTTCAGGAGCTTCTTTCTGTTAATAGTGGCACCATTTTTCTGATGAGTGTTCCCCATCTGCTGTTTGAAGTTCTCTATTCCTGCTTTTGCTGCTGATGTTATAATACTTCCTTCTCCCTTTGCTCTTTTTTATTTATCTCTTCCTTCCTCTTCTTCTTCACCTTTTTCCTCTTCCCCTACACCTTCTCCATCATCTCTTTGTCCTCCTCCTTGTACTCTTCCTTCTGCCCCTTCTCTTCCTCCTGTCTTTTCTTCTTCACTTTGTTATTATTATTTACCATCTTTGAGTGAAATGTATTCTTTTCAGGTCAACTATTTGCAGATTTGTACCACAGGGCAATCAGAGCAGTAGTATTCCAAGCTATCTAGAGTTGTCCTTGGTTTATTATGAGGGTCCTATGAAGTGGTGTGTGAGTGTGTGTGTGTGCGTGTGTGTGTGCGTGTATGCCTTGACTTTTTCCTTACTTTTGTAGGGCCTCTTATAATTCAATGTCTATTCTCTACCTAGCCTCTTGGCATCTTGCCTCATTCCTCTTTGATATTTACAGCATTTGGCAGCCCTTTCTCATATAGTTTTGATTTGAGATTACAGATTTTCACTTGGATGTGTGATTGCATTTCTTTTTCTTACCCTCCTCATTTTGAGGTGATAATTTCTGAAAGAGCTAAAACTTTACTATGCTATCTTAAATCCAACATCACAATGCCTTTCTCATATGTTATATTTGTGTCTTCCTCCTCTGAGAAAGAAGAATATACGTTGCTGTGCTTTGTTCAACCTGATCCTTCTGTTTCTTTCCCAAACATTTCCTTTTTCTTTCTGAGAAGACTCACTTGAGATATTACCTAAATGTCTTTGGAAGCTCTTGCACTGACAGGTGCCATCTTCTCTGAACTTCCAATACAGATGGGGCCCTTGTTTCTTTTGACTGGTTTGCTGCCTACATATAGCTACCCCCAAATGTATAACAACACACATAAATGGAAGTTTTGAACTCACTCATGTAAAGTATAGGACTCATGTTTCTTGATTGGCAGGTGGTTCTATGATAAGCAATGATTTTAGACCATACCCTGCCATCTACCTGGCTTCCAAAGTGCTTGTCTACATCAAACCACTAAATCAGGGAAAGCATGGAGAAGTAGGCATAAGAGGTGTTGTAGGCCTGAACTGCTGAACTGTGGCAGAAATGCATCCCTTCTCTTCTTCTGTTATTGAGCACTAACTGGCAGTGATTCTAGGCAATGGAGTCTAGCTGTGTAGACAGGAAATGGAGGAGGAGAAGAATAGGGGTTTGGTTAACAGCTACTTGCCTAATTGCTCTCTTTAGTTTGTCTGTCATAAATGTCTGAGTGACCAAAGGAACGTGAGTGTTTCTAACCAAATTAGTCTTCTCATTTATTCAAACAGATATTCGTTATCTTCCTTCTGCATGCCAACTACATGACTTTATCAGTTGGAGTTATCTTAACCCCTACTGCAGGAATGATATTTAATTTTCTGAGCTGTCCTGGAAGAAGAAAATGAGTGATTTTTTAAAATCCTTTGTGTAAACAGAGAATTTTGCCCTCTTTTGAAAATGTTGACCTCTTCAATAAAGAGGAAAGTGTATGAATAATTTTAAGCTATAGCTATAGAGTCATACAGTATGGTGTTATCACTCAAGTTGGATTCATCAGTAGAAGTTTATTCCTCTACATTATTATCAGCACTGTTTTTTTTTCCAATTCAAAAGTATATCTGCTTTCCAAAGGGAATTCAGTTACCTCTGTTTTAAAAATAAGCTTTTATTAGTTGAGTCTACATAGCTCAATTAAATACAAAGCATGTAAATTATGTGTATATTTGGGTATGGACAAGTTCATGAAATTAGAGTTATTTAGTATCAGGTGATTGTTCAATAATGAAATCCAAATTGGTGTTTACACTTTAATAGCCAAATGGAGAGTGTTCACACCCTCCCCATTAAAATGTACTGACAGAACAATTTGTATCCCTGCTACATGGGAATAAAAAGGGTTTTATTTGTTTTAGCTGAACTATCCCACCAAACCATCTACATCACTAGAATTTATGTTATAAATACACTTCCTTTTCTACATATCACCTAGGTAGAACTCACTCAGAAGGAAATCATTTTTATCATGCCACTTGAGAGAGTAGTTTTCAGTAGAGCATACTTAAATAAAGAAGCCATTCGTCCCCTGGGGTGTCGATATAGGAAGAGGGTGCAGAAGGAACTGAGCCACTTAGGGACTATTCCTGAAACCCTTGGATGTCCCCAGGTCCCATTGTGACCCCACTGTTGAACTTCCTTAGACACACACTCCTTTTCCGTCCTTTCAGTTAATGCTGCATTGAGCCAACATGTGTTCTCTTCGGTAGCATGCCTTAGAAGGAAGAATCATCCAGTTTTGAACCAGGCCTGATTGCAGGTTGTTACTATCCTTTATTTGCTATTAAATTAATTTATTGACAGTATTATTATAATCAGAATGTATTAGGTGAACAAATTCACTAAAAGTTTCTCGAATCTTGACCTTAAATATTAGAGCCACCTGTTGGGAAACAACAGTTCATTTTATTTATTTACATGCATTTTTCTCTTTCATCCTTATAACCCTATGAGGTAGAGATTACTATTCCACATTTAACAAGTGATAAAAACTGAAATGCATGGAAAGAAAATAACTTACCTATGATCTATCTCACATCTGGTAGGAGAAAGAGATTCAAGCACAAGTTAGTAGCTACTATCCTGAGCCAGTAAAATGAATTAGCACAGCTTCACTACTATAAGAAGGGTGACATATTTTTTTTTTCCTTTGCTCTGGGGGTATGACAAGTATTAAGCCTCAGGCCCAAGTTTTTAGAAAACATCTCCATCATTATTTAGACTTTTCATAGTACTTATTATGGTGATGCTTTTTGGCAAGATTGAGAATATATTGGTCGGACAATTATGTTTTATTGTTGTCTAACTTCATAGACACAAGCAATTATTTATTCTGACTCTTTTTGGTCCACTTTTCATTATAGACTAACCTCTGAGGTTAAGAACCGAGAAGCACTTGCTCCAAGTGTGTGTGACTTTAAGTAGCACTAGGGGATCAATCTCAATCAGTCCAGTTTGAATTTTAGTTTCAAACACTGCCCACATCTGGGAGGAGTTCACTAGCTAGACAAAGACCACAGGTTGACCCAGGATGACTTAGGAAAACACAGAAATTCTGCCTGCAGTGCTGGCTGTAGGCCACAAGACATATTTCCTGTTGCCTTATTTTCCATGGAGGTCATAGTACTGCCCAATGAGGCTTTCTTTACAGCAGCATGAGCTTTGTAGTTGGATGGAACTATTGGATCCCAGAGGGCTACAGCCTTTTCTTGTGTTTTATGTAGAGAAGTCGTCTCCATAAAGACTTATTATATAATGTAATTGTAATAATTAAAATAAAGACCAGTGGCCTCTGTGGTGGCAGAAGTCTCTAAATGAAATCTGGGTGACCCAGCCTACTGTTCCTTAATTTACTATGACCTTTTATTTTTCCAGGGTGACAGAGAAGCAGAACTGGGGCTGCCTTTTTCTCCTCTGTGTGACCGAAAGTCCACTATGGTTGCTCAGTCACAAGTAGGTACGTGTTTGCCAGCTCTTTGGTTAGAAGGAAGCACCAAAGCAGGAAGCCTGTAGAAGTAATCACAGATGCTCTGAGCAGTTCTTTGACTGGGAAACTGGCTCCATTCTGCCGTGTTGTGCTCACGGCTCTGCCTGATTGGATTTATGGAACCACTCTGTCCATTCTTCTCCCTGGAATGTGGCTATTCATGGGAGAATTGGACAATGATACTCTTGGTGTCTCTGTCATTCCCTGTCAAGAGAAAGAGGGGGTCCCAACTCTCCAAGGAGATAACAAATGTCATTGGCAGGAAGCCCATTCTACTCCATCCCTCCATTCTGCGTGTAGCACTGTAAGCTGCCAAGGCATTTCTACTCACTGATGCTTCTTCTAGCCCCATTTTCAGGACAGCCTCGTTTTCTGGTTGAATCTACTTCCATGAATGGATCTTTCAAAATATTTTCTTCCTTCTTTCCTGTCTTCCTTCCTTTCTTTTCTTTAAAGCAGTTTTTTTTTAGGTAAGGATAACTTTTGAATTGCTGATAACCATAATATATGCATTTTAAAAATCTTCATCTATGGGAGAGGGCACCAGTGCCCTATCTGAATTAAACGTTGTCAGTGATCTCCACCTTTGAAAAGTCTGAAATCATTTAAGAAAATTCAATAAGAATTATGGATTTTTCTACTTTTGTTTTGAGTGCTTATGCTTTTTAAATAATATATATTGAGTCTTCATATATTGGGCACTGCTAGACATGGTAATAGATGTTATAGGAACAAAGACAAATTATACGTGGTACTTGCTCTCAAACACATTAAACCAGTATTGAGTGATGGGCAAAATGTTACAAAAACAAAAATCTATTAGAATATTATAACGCTAAGGTAGACTTTTGTACATAGTACAATAAGGTACACAACAGAGTGTGTGAGCCATTAGGTTTATTAAGGGGTAATATTTGAGTTGAGTCCCAAGAAGTGCGTATGCATTGTTTGGGCAAATGGTGATCTGTGTTGGAGGTGAGCTAGGGGTGGGTAGAAGGTCATTCCAGGCAGAGAATGTAGCATATACAAAGCAGGGAAACTTAAAACTGCCTTGTATGGTCAGCAAATTCTAAACATTTCCATATGGCAAGAACATTGGGTAGGGAGTAGGATGTAGTGAGGGACGTATCAAGCCCAGATTTTATGTAGTGTTAATAATAGCATGTGTTTATACTTTCTTGTAGGAAATGAGGGCATATCTAAAGAATTTTAAGTGAGGTTAAAAATATATAAATTTATGTTTTAGCCTGTGGGCTTAATCTGGCCCACCACCTGTTCTTGTAAATAAAGTTTTATTACAACACAGCTAAGTGCATTCATTTACATATTGTCTATGACTGCTTTTGCACTTCAGTGGCAGAGTTAAGTGGTTTTGATAGAGATGATATGGCCTGCAAAGTCTAAAATAACTATCTGGTCCTTTACAGATAAAGTTTGCCAACCCTGTTTTTAGAAGATTTCTTTGCCAGTAGCATGGAGGATTAATTGGAGGATTTTCAGTAAGATTAGAGGCAAGGAAACCAGTTGGGTGCCTCCTACAGGATTACAAAGAAGAGATGATGAATATCAGAACTAAGGTAGTAACAGAGCCTCTCCAGAAGAGAGGTGGCACATAAGGTGTCAAGGATTTGACTGAATGCAAAGCTGAGATAAAGGCAGAACTCTAGATTAAGTGGTTGGACTATGGTTCCATTTACAAAGGTTGTGGGGAATCTTATGAGTTAGTTCTGGTTTGGACGTGTTGAGCTTAGTTTGTCAGGGGAAAAAAAAGGCAAAAGTGGTGTCATCAAATACTTTAGTTTCAGCTTAAAACTACACTATAATTAATCGTAATACACAATACATACTACACATATACAATTACAACACTATATTAGCCATAATACACATTTGGCTATCACTGTTTCCTTGTCAGTCAGGACACTATTGATATTTGGTTGAGACAGTTCTTGTTTTGTCAATTACATTGTAGGACTTTTAACATCCTTTATGCTCAGCATTAATGCCAGCTTTACTTCTACCTGGGCCATTGTAAAAACTAAATATGCATTCATACATTTCCAGATACGACCTTCAAAGGAGAATGGGCATTTCCTCTGGTTGATATTTAGTTTCCTTCCAGTTTTCATGTGGCTGTGTAGGGAATTACCACCGTCCCTACTAGCTTCAGCTCCTAGGTTTTCTCCTGATTGTCACAGAATATTTGGGTGTCTGAGCTGTTAGGACAATCTCTGTAGCCCAACTTCAGCCATCTCTCTAGCATGGTGATCTCACAAAGGTATAGTTCTAGGTCTGAGCCCTCTTTCACTTTCCAATTCTGTTTCTTCCAACTCTGTTTGCCCCGTCCCATCTAGATGCGCCCCCTGTACCTCAAAGTCCAGCATATATGAACCAAAGCCCATTGTCATTTCTTGGCCACATTCTCTTTCCATTTTCTGTTTTCCCTGCTTTGTTGTTGGAGTGTCTTTGGCAGATCCCATACAGAGGCAGTACCACCTCCTGCTGTACGGGTATCTGTGCCTGCTTTGCATTTCCACTTTATAGTGGCACTGGTTCCAGCCTTCTTTATCTTTTTTTTTTTTTTGAACAATTGCAATAGCTTCTAAATGATTTTCTCATCCTTCTCCCTTCCTGCTTTCTTCATTATTATCTTGCCAGATTAACTTTCCAAAGAACATTTAAAAACTCTTATGACAATGCTGCTCAAACATCTCCAGGAGCCTCCCGTGTCCACCTAAGTCCCAACCCTCTATCTGAATACTTAGAAGCCTCCCTTCCTAGAGCTGTCAATAACTTGCCTTCCCAAGCTTTCCTTCCACAAATCCAAAAGAATCCCTACTCCCTAGTCAGTCCCCAGACACATCTTACACCCTCCCATCTCTGTCACTTGGCTTTTTCCATTCCCACTGCCCAGAGTGAATAGCCACATCTTCCTCTCCACCCATTCTTAAGGGCTCAGCTCAAATGTCACAACTTCAGGCAGGTTGTGTTGTTCGGTCTTAGTCTTTTACAGAGTTCCTATCACAGTGCTTGTTCTGTAGTGGGTGTTGAGTATTTCATAGGTACTTTATTGAACTGTATCCTGAAAAGTCATAGGAAGTTATGTAGGAGAAATGAAACTGACATGTAATATTCAAATCAATGAATATATAAAGTGAATAAGATCAACCCATTCTCTTGTAATCTGATCTGGAGCTTCTAGATCAGTTTCTTCTGGAAAGTATGGAAAGGTCCAAGGTAATATGTGGTTCCTCTGAAGCATTGCCGTTTCCCTTCAGGTTTCATTGATTTCATCGTGGAACCCACCTTCACTGTGCTTACGGACATGACCGAGAAGATTGTGAGTCCATTAATTGATGAAACCTCTCAAACTGGTGGGACAGGACAGAGGCGTTCAAGGTCAGTGGGGAAGCCTGAGGGCTGGGGGTGAGGTTGGCCTGTCCTTGAGGATAGAATTCTTCTTTTGCTGGGGATGGGGATGGTATGTCATAATGACATTTGCCTTAGCTCCTTCTCATAAAAATTTGTCTGCCTCTTTCCTTTTCTCAGAGGAGTTGACATTGTATTATCCGTACTCTCTAAGCTAAACTGTTAAGAGGTGCCCAAGGTCTAAATCATGACCAGCAGGAACCTGGTGCTGCCCCTCCACCACCCCATTTGGTGCATGTTTACCTGCTGTGCCCAGACAATCCTTGCTCATGTAATACTCCACAAAGGCATTACCACTCCTCGAGAGTACTTACAAAGAAATGAAACTGACATTCATTTCAAGGTTTGCACAAAGAATGAAGTAGAGAAAAAGAATCGAAAGCTTGAAATCACCTTCTACCACCGCATCATTATATCAAGGGTAGATCAGTAAAGAGTACAGGCTCTAGAGTTAGAATGTCAGAGTTGAAAACTCCTGACCTCATCACTTACTAGCTGTGCAATCGCAGGCAAATTGTCTCACTTCCCCCATCTGAGAAAACGTGGATTATAATACTCAGAGGTGGCTGGGAAGATTAAATAAGATATTTAATCTATGTTAAACCTTACAACAGGGTCTAGAACAGAGGAAGTGCTAGCTACAATAAAGTCTTTATTAGATATACTACTACTATTACTACTACTATTAATCTCCTTGTTCATGTAAAACATTGGGCTTTGTCATAAAGGAGGAAGAAGAGAAATGGAATGAATAGGAAAAGGAGAAGCAAAGAGCAGGAAAAGGAGTAAAGAAAGACAGGGGGACTCCAGGGATGCTCCAGATGGATAGACCCTCTTAAGTTTGCTAACAAGGAGGACAGAGCCCCTGGCAGAGTCCCCATGGCCCCACAGCTCTTCAGGCAGTGACTGAAATATATTCTGCTTGTCTAGTCCATCATGAATTTGTGTTCCTACCAGTCATTGCTTTAACCACTTGGTAGCAGTATTACTTCTTTGAGATTTTCCAGAAAGATGGTACTTTCTAATATATACAAAGTTACCCATAAGGTCTTTTGCATGACCTAGTCTCTCACTATCTCCATGTTGTCCACATTTCCATCTTCTTCCAGCGATTTAAGGAAATTATCACTTCCCCTGGATTTTGGTATACTGGGATCAGAAAGACCCTTGCAGGGGAATGGTAGAGCTGGAAAGAAAGAGGAGCAAGTTGCTAGGTAACTTGGAAAAGTGGTCAGTGTGGAAGCAGATGGGTGAACTGCAGAATTAAGTGGATGTCCCAGTTCAAATTAGTCAGTTTCAGAGAATAGAGCAGAGAAAATTCACATGAGGGGGTTCTGGTTATTGGGGAAAGAGAAGAGGCCAAATAGCAAGGAAGAAATATGAAGAATATAGAGACTCTTGAGACTGCAATGTTGATATTTTTCCTGCTGAAAATTCAGAATTTTCCACCTGTCATATGTGGAAAATAGAATAATTATAAACCGCAGGACCCAGAAATTTCACAGCAATAACTTGATGAGTGCTAACCACTCCTCCCTGGGCTAGTTCATTGGCAGACATTTTCCAAACACTAACTCTCTTCTTTGGTATGATTTTTTTGTTTTCCAGTTTGAATAGCATCAGCTCATCAGATGCCAAGCGATCAGGTGTCAAGAGCTCTGGTTCGGAGGGAAGTGCCCCAATCAACAGTTCTGTCATTCCCATTGACTATAAGAGCTTTAAAGCTACTTGGACCGAGGTGGTGCACATCAATCGGGAGAGATGGAGGGCCAAGGTACCCAAAGGTAACATGCCACAGACCTGTCCAAGCCAATTCAGCACCCAGTTGTAAAACAAGGTTGTCTTCCCTGAGTTATGTGTGTTACAAATAAAGCACAATTGCTCAGGATGCAGATTCAAATTGCTGAATGTTAGAATCTACCATCTTTTGATCTTCATAATATCTACCAATCAATGCATGATAAAATGCAGGAGACCTGCAAGCCTCCTGACATGATGCCCTTTATGCTGTGGCACTAAACTCCTTTTTCTGGTATGAAGACTCTACAGGAGATGGGTGTTATTATTTCTTGATTTCTGCTAAACCATCTTGTCGTTTTCACTTGATATCATGTGGCACAACTGTGAGGCTTTTATTTCTTCTTTTACCTAAGTAAAGACCTGCTAATAGCCACCTTGCCTTGGCCATTATGTTGGGATATAAGGAGCTTTAATTTTCTTACATGCATTTCTATATTCCTTTCATATTCTCAGTTTCCCTTCACTCATTGCTCAAGCCATATATATGATCTTCTAAGATGATGGTAAATTGTTGGTAAACAGAAACTCCCTGAAGTAGACAGCATCAAAACTAAAAATTGTGGCCCTTGGTACTGTCAGCAGAAAAGGGTGGAAATTTGTATGATGTGGGAAGCTTAAATTCCTTTGTTCATGTGTGCATTTATGACTACTGAGCATGTCCTCCATGATGGGTACATTCTACATGATCATATTAGGGAGAGAGACCCTCGTGCACAGGTAGCATAAACCTGAGATAAGGGGTCTGACACTGTGATGCCTGATTTAAGGTAAGGACAAATACATGGGTGGCTCTGGGAGCCCAGTGAGGGAACTGAGCTTCCTGGAGGTGAGCCCTCAACAAGAGTCAGTTTTTGCTAACATCTATTGCATGCCTACTGTGTGCCAGGCTGTGCCGGGTACCCAGGGTACAGAGATGAGTAACAGACATCCTTGCCCTCAAAGCTCACAGTCTTGTGGCAGGGGAGGGAAAGAGACATTACTATATAGTTTCATTCAAAGGAAGAATGGAAGTTCGGTCAAAGCCCTGAAGTTGCCACCAGCACCACCAGCCTAAGCCCTAGGCCTTCACATCAGACAAAAACACATCATCCTCTCCCCAAACACAACATCTCACATTTTTACCCTCCCAGTGTCAGTATACTGGGTGAGAAGGGTAGGGACAGTGGGTAAGAACATGTTCTAGCAGTGTTGGTTCCTGTCCATCAGGGTGGGAGGTGGGGGTTCCTATTCTAGTGTAGGAAAGAAGCAGCCTCACTGTTGGAGTTATTCAAAGGCTTGTCCACAAAATTCTGTCCAATTTTGTGACTTGTCCATAAAATTCCATTCAAGTGGCTGCTCATTTCAGGTGAGGCAAAGGGTTTATATTTATGGCACTTTTAGGGCATAATTGAACCCTTATCATTTCAGGACAGATGTTGCACCCTGAACTGTGGAGGGAGCCAACACCTCTTCCATATTTTAAGTGCATCCTCTCCTAGTCCATTCAAATGCTTTAAACATTCGAATCCTCCCTGTTGGCAGGTATTGCAAACAGCGATGGCAGCTACTGCATCATCTGCAAAGAAACACTCTCTTATAATCAATTACACTCATTACACTTGAAAATTCAATTTCTGACAACATGCAATTTAAAGAGGTACTTCAAAATAATTTGTTTGCGATTATCTGGCTTACTAAAATTACCTTCAGAAACTAATCACCTGGGGAAGCATTTGACAGTTTCAGGAGAAAACTGGCCCTTTAAAAAGAACAGATAAACAAACAGCTAATAATTTTTAAATGCATTAGGTATGGGGATAGAGATACTGTATGTTTGAACTATTTTGGAAGCACAAAGAATTTGTCTGTAGCCCTGCTTGGGCGTTTGGGAAGGCATCATGTGGCAGGACTTCTGGGATTAAGACCTGAATGAGGTTGTATTTAAAAATGGGAACAAGAAGAAAGGGCTTGGGCAAAGGCACAGAGCCTGGTGTTATGGATATTTTGTGGGAGAATAATTTGGTTGTCAGGGCACATTTCAATTAGCAGGGAAGGGGAAAGAGAATTGAGTCTTGACTTGCAAGGGTTTTTTGTTGTTGTTGTTGTTGGCAAATTCAGATAGGTTCTTTGAGGCTCACTTTGGGGATGATAATGTACATCACAGAATTGAGGTGAATAGAAATAATACCTATAAACCACTGAGAAAGGAGCCTGCATGGTTGGTACCTAAGTAGTAGCTGTTATTTATGCAAATTGGAAAAGAAGATTAGAGATTTGAATACAAAGTTAAGGTGGTGGTGAAAATACCAACTTATAACTAATATTTTATAACATTCTTAGCAGCTCAGTAATGCTGTTGACTGGTTGACTGGTGCTAATAAGAAATCTAGTTTGCATCTGTTTTCTGTTGGTGGTGGCTGTTTTGTTTGTTGCTCTTTTTTTCCAGATGACCCTGATTTCAAGAAAGGCTGTCCTCCATGGGGCACTTGAACATGTATTGTTAATAAATGCACTGGAAATGGGTCTTGGTTTTGTTAACCAACCTGATTTACAAAACTAGGTAGGCAAGAACTGATAATTATTAGGAAAGATTAAATAAATATTTTTATAGCCCTTAGAGTTAAAAATCACTATTCCCAACCAAAGATGTATGGACATAACAATTTTCAAGTCTGATCAGTATTGATTAATTTCCATTCAGTATTTAGTACTTTTTTTAACACTTATTTTCTGGTGTAACACTAATGTGTTTAGGTTACAAATGCTGAAATCTAAAATACATATATAAAAGAAAATGAAAATTGCTCATTACTTCTCTAGACACATATAACTATTATTAAAATTCTGATGTAATTCTTTTTAATTTGCTTTTCTGTAAATATGTATAAGTAAAAATTTTGCCCATAAATTGGGATCATAATATAATATTGTCTTGTATTTGGCCTTTCTCTTTCTGTTTTGAGTATTTTATTCTGATACTGAATATTGTGATTTACAATATATAAAGAATTATTCATTTACATATTTTTCTCATTTTTGAGTTTTTAATGTTGAATGAAGTTTTCTGTCAGCTGGAGCACTTCTTTCACTAAAATTTCCAGGAAGCAGGAACACCTTCTAAGTTCTTAAATGTCTAGAAGCACCTTTCTTTTGTTCTTGTATAGAACTTAGATTTGAACTAGTCAAAATTCATATAGTATTTTGGGTTTTCTGGTCAGTTTTTCTCTCTTTTCTATGTTTTTTTCTCTCTCCTTCTCTGGTTGTAGGCATTTCAGAAAATTATATCAAGGGATAATCAGCCCAATATGATTTTTAACTGAGACCCTATAGTATCATTATTCAGGAAGACAAATAAAGAAATCAGTGTATTTCCCCAAAACTGTGCAGACATGTATTGTGGGTAGAACTGGCTCTCCACTGGGAGGAAGCAAATGTATGGATCTTGAGGGTTCTGCTCTGCCTTAACTCTTAACTGCTTACTCTTGGTTGTTTTTTATCACAAGTCCCAACACTGCAGACAGTCTGACATGGGAAGCCAAAGGAAACAGAATTGAACCTCACACCTCTTGCTTTCGACTAGTCAAGAAGCCTAGCAGATGCTAAATCTAAGACCTGAAAAGCGAATTCTCTGTGTACATCCTGTGATTGGAATCTATGAGTGTGTACAAAATAGCTGTTCTCAGCTCCTTTTTAACGTATATATATAAACCAGCTTCTGGATCCATTGATTTTTTCTTTCTTTCTTT